TCTACAAAAGCTTGAAGCATATTTATTTCTTCATATAATTATTCTGATATAAGTATCAGTTAAGTAAACTTCTCTTTCAATTTTATACTATGATAATATAAGATATTATCACAAATTGCTACTATTCATTTATGAATTTCATCTTTAATACCTGTTATATTTTTTATATGTAAGAGAACTTTTTCAACATTCAAAATAGAATTAGAATTAATATCAATTAAATCAAATACATAAATCTTAGAAATATTAACTCTTTGATTAGTAACTTATTATTGGATAAGATTGATTCTAGAAATACATGAAACATTTGGTTTATTTTTAAAACTATATGGTTTAAAAATTAGAATATATTGGTTGTATTATTTATAACTTCAGTTACTTTTTCTTTTTGTATTTTAGTCAATATCAGTAATCACATTTAGTATTCTGAGCGTCTTTTTTTCAATTTTCAATATTTAATAAATAGCAATTGGGATATTTTTTTATATTAGTGATAGTAATTCCTGTAAATAATATAAGAGAATCAATTGTATTAGTGGATAATAATTTTTCTTTGAATAATAAATTAATAATATTAGAAAGATAGTTATATAATTCTTTATCAATAACTTTTTACATTTGGAAATTAATATCAATAAGCTCTTTGTATTATAACTTATTAAGAGAATAATATACCTAAGGTGTGTCAATCTGTTAAATTTTATTATATGATTCTATATTAAAAGTAATAAGACTAGTAATAATATAGTAAACTACTGTATTGTAATCTCAGTCAAGATAATTTTTTTGATATCTTTGTTCATTATTAAATGCAAAAAATAAAAGCTTTTTGGGTAATAGTAGCTCTTACTTTGATAATTCTTCTAATCACTTTTGAAATCGATAGTAACTTCTTAAACTTGTAATATAATTATTAATATTAATAATCATCTTTAATTATTTGATTAAATATTTAATAGCTAAGAAGGCAAATTGAGCTTCTGAAATATATTTTTTGTGTCACACCCTATATATTGAATCAACTGCAACTATAATTTTAAAATAATTTTCTTAGCCTAAAGTATTAGTACCTTAAATTTTTTGAATCAAAGTTTCGATAAATACAATAATAATTTTATTATACCTATTAAGTTATTCACAAGGATTATATATTATAAGACTTTTCATAAAGAATCTAATATCATCTCAGATTATTAATTTTAAATCATCAAATAATAATACATGTTCTGCATTTACTATCTTAATAATTGCATCAATACTTTTTTATTGATTATTAAATCGCAAATTCTATCATATGATAAGATTATCATTTTTTTATATTGTTTCTCATACAAATTTTGAGTCTTACAGTAGTAGTCATAAGTATCTGACTGTTTGAGATCATTTAAAATTATTATATAACTACCTCTTAAATTTTCTAAAAATATAATGTAAAATAATACATGATCACTGGTAAATTTATAAGTGTCAATTATATAAAAAAAATTAGATGCATCATTAAACTTTCGCTTGAAAAATAGAACTTTTTTTAGAAAAATGATATGCAATTGTCTTTTTACATGAGTATCCAGTTGGTCTAAAGTTTAGTTTTAGATTTATTGCTAAATAGATATGTTGTAATAAGTCTACAGCTATTTATTAGATTAAAAGATATTATGAAATCAGGATATAAATACTTCAGAAAGATTGGGCAGCCTTTTGTAATCACTGCAAAATAAGATGATAAGATTGTAAAAATAGTAAAGAAACATAATATAACAGCTATTTAAATATAAGAAAAAATGGAAGAAAGAAATGTTGGGCTTATTATAGAAATAGTAAGGTGATGTTTTCATAAGTCTAGAGGAAAGTTTAGTAATAAAATTTCTAAATCTTTACTTAAAGAAGACTATCGAAAAAAAAGGTTATAATAGGCAAAAAAATATAAGAATTTTGATTAGAATCAAATTTTTTTTAGATGATGTACATTTCAATTATATACATCAAAAAAAGGGTTTAGCAGTTTTCTGGTAAAAAAAAAGTGTTTCGTTCTGTTAAGCATCTATCAAAAGTTTATGTTTAGGGATGTTTTACTGCTTCTGAATTTGGTATATTATTTTGCTTTCAGAGGAATCTTAATGTTGAATTTATGTGTACTATTTATGAGTAAGGTCTTCTGGCTTCCATTTTTAAATTTTTTGGTGAAGGTAATATAGATTATATCTTGCAAGAAGATAATCTAAAGTATTGATCAAAAATCATAAAAAAATAGAAGAAAGAAAATGGCATTGAGGCACTTTTTTAGTCATCAATGTTTTTAGACTAAAACTCTATAAAAAACATTTAGAGATTAGTGAAAATTAATATACAAAAAAAATTCAATTAATTAGAGGGTTAAAGGGAGAACTTATAAAAGAATAAAACTAATTATCACTTATACTTATCGTGAATTTAGTAGCTAGTATAAAAAGGCATATAGTTGCACTTATAGAGTCAAATAGTTATTATACAATATATTAATTTTAGTTAGTTGATTATGTATTTTTTAAATAAAAAAAAATTTAAATTTACTTACTTGTAGTCAGAGTTAGAGGTAGTCAAATACTTATAACTATTACTGTAATTGCATAATTATAAGCTCTTTGCATTTTTTGTTTTAACTCTTTTATTTCATTTATTTAATTTTTTTAAATGCTTTTACATCTATACAATTTTATTGTTGAGCCTAATTATTAATTGTGACTTTTGCTAAATTTCCTAGTAACTAACTTCCAGAAGACTTTTAGTTTTTTCAAACTCAGCTATAATGTTGAAATAATCAATGCTATAGTTTCTATCAGTATTTAATTGAAGTCATTTATTATCCTGATCAGAATCTATAAGATGATGGTAAAATTGATTAGTAGAAATAGAGTTCTGAACAAATTGAGTTAACTCATGAGTCAGATAAGTTGAGTCAAGTTTAAATCAAGTTGAGTTTATGTTTTTTTGATTCAATGATTTGTGAGTCATGCCAAATTCAAGTCAAGTTAAATATTTAACTTGACTCTATTTAAACTTGAGTTAACTTAAGTTGACTCAAAATTGATTCTTAATTTTTATTTATTTTTTTTTCTTTTCTTTTTCTTTGATCTTTTCATATTATTTGTTTTATTTATTATTTATTATTTTTATTTATAATTTTATTTTTTTGATTTTTAATTATTTTTTTTTTCTTTTTTTCTTCCCTTTTTTTCCTCTTTTCTTTCCAATCTTTCAGTTTTTTAGTTTTTTTTTAATTTAATTTTATTTTATTTTTTCTTTTCTTTTTCCCTCTTTCTTTTCCCCTAATCTTTTCATTTTTATTTTTTAGTTTATTTTTAAATTTTAATTTTAATTTTTTTTTTTAATTATTTTTTTAATTTTTTTAATTTAATTTTATTTATTTTTCCCTTCTTTTTACTTTCTTTCAATCTTTTTATTTTCATTTTTAGTTTTTTTTTAATTTTTTTTTAATTATTTTTCTTTTTATTTTTATTTTATTTAATTTAATTTATTTTATTTTTCTTTCTCTTTCTTCCCTTTCCTTTTCTTCCTTTCTTTTCCCTCCTTATTTTTTTATTTTTTTTTATTTTAATTTTATTTTTATTTTTTTAATTTTTTTTTTATTTTATTTTTTTATTTTATCTTTATTTTTTCCTCCACCCTCCCGATATTCTATGTTTTCATTTTTTAATCTAACTTTTACTTTTAATTATTTTTTATTTAATTCACTTTCTTTTTTTTAAGAGTAAAACTTTTATTTTCACAAATAAGATGAGTATAAATTTTTTTATAATAAATGTTTATAAATTAATTTAAAATTAACTCAAAACTTGATTTGAACTTGACTCAGTTTGAATAAATTTAAGTCAAAATCAAGTTAAGTTAAAATCAAGTTAAATCAAATTGAGTCAAGTTTACAATTTATATAACTTGAATTAAGTCAAATTAAAAGATTTTATAAAATAAATTTGACTCAACTTAACTTGAAACAAATGAGTCAATTAGAGTTGATCTTTAAACTTGACTCAACTCAACTCATTTAGGATTCTAAGTAAAAATGATTTGATTATAATGCCTTTTGCAAATCAAATAAGACTTTAAAGAAGAATGAAGGTTAGCGAACTCAAGAAAGTAATTATGGTATTGTGCAAGCCACTTAGCTGTTTCTTAGATACTAGCATGCTGCTGGGTTTGTGATTCCTTTATTTCACAATCTTTTAATCCAATTGTATAATAATTATTAACTAAATTCACAAAAATACATGGAAGATCCCTTACTTTTGGCCTTTGGTAAGCAGACTCTACAAAAAAAATTATTTAAAATGTTAAATTAGTTAACAAAAAATTTGCTATATATAATATACTTTTATTTAACTAACAAAATACATGCAAATTTCTTATTTTGAGGTCTAATTTACTTTTTTTAAGGAGATTTGATCCCTTTGATTATGGAAACTAGAACTCTTTTGCTATCTATCTATATGCTATTTAAGCCACAATGAAATTCGGAAAAAAAAAATGATATCGATCATATATACATGTAACAGCCAATCAAATTCAAAGAATTTTCTGTAGATCATTCTAGAACTCATTTCCTTATTTGGTATATTCCCTGACTGAACTATGCTTAAGTAATTTTCCTTAAAGTTTTATTCCAAGTTAGACGATTTGTTACACAAAGCTTTACTTCAATACCGCAACAATGATTCAAAAGCAATTTCGTATCTGCTATTACTAAATTCTGTAATTCAAAATTGTGTGAGAAAATGTCTCAAATTGGTATTAATAAAATCAAAATATTTAAAAGATTTAAAATTATGCATACTCGTAATGTTAAAAGCAATTGAATGATCTAAAGCATCGAATCCCAATCAGAATTGTAAGGAGGAATTTTCGAGCCACAAAGTTTGTAAAATCAATTTATATTCTTTATAACTTTTATTAAAGCCTAAGTTAATTTCATTTTCTGCAGTAATATTAAGAGGTTCACACCAAATATGCAGGCTTATAATGGGTATAACAAAATCTGGCATTTCATCTTTACTTTCGCACCAAAGTTTCACGTAATCTGTGCTGTTTTATCTCTACAATCAAGAATAGGATTCATTAAACTTTATTTCGAATTCATAATTGTCGAGTCTGGTTCTTACCATAATGATTGTACATCGTTCCGTCTTTCGGTTTTACAAGTTAGTTGTCAATTTAAATATATTTATTCTATTAAAAATTTTAATAATATTTCTTAAAACTGACGTAGCAAAGGAACAATAACTTCGGTTTAAATGGTCGTTGTCTACATCGAATATCGAGAATTTACATCACATCATCATTAAGCGATTTTCGTTATCTTTAGATTGCATCTATAACCTAAATTCTTCCAAAGTACGTTTTATACAGTTTTAACATATCATCATTATATTAGATTCGAGGAAAAGCATTTGACATAAACACAATTTTTACCCTGTGAAAAATGTCCGGAAAACATCACCAATCATGCTGGGTGTGCCAGAGTTTGAATGATTCCGGACGTTATTTTTCACTTTGTTAATAATATGGGAGGTTTGCTATTAAAATCGAGTTACGAACTTAGTTCAATCGTTTGATTAAATAAATTACAAAACTTCAGTAAGCTGTTTTTATTTTAAATCTATAAGATTATGTTACTCAAAATCGTCGTAAGTATTTACGATAATCTAAATTTAAATTTTAATATTAATACTACTATTAAAAGTTTACCCTTGTACAAGTTCCAAGTTCGTAGACGGAACAGAGTATCATAAACTTCATTAATCTGCCACATTAATAGTATCATATTCAATTCTAATTCAACAATACGTTCTGCGCTCTTAAAAAAAAAGACTTTTTCCAAGAAATATAACTAAACTATTATGACTGTCATTCATCATAAAGTAAATAACTTCCTTTTCTATTATTTTATTCAACGTATATTTCTGACTTTATCTTTCAATATCAGAATTGATAGCATGCTTTTTTCGTAATTATGAACTGAAATAATCTATCGTGTTGGGGAGTTTACTGTAAATGGAACAAGCAAATACGAGTCGAATTTATGAGTCTTCATTTATTGCAACATAGTATGTATCACCATGAAGTTAACTAGTATACGATTAATTTAAACTTAAAATCGCACAAAGATTTTACTAAATTTAGTAGATATACTACATAGATTCTTTTATATAACTTTTGAGATATGGATAGATGAAAATGATCTTGGAATATTGCAGCAATCAAATGTATGTGTTAGCTTGTTTATATTTTTAAGATTAATAAGTTTTTTAATTAATAATCTGGTACGAAAGCAATTTTGTCCTTTGTTGTATTGAAACTTTTGAATTGATCACTCGACATCTCAATTATTAGTAAATTTACTACGTCATTTATATAAATTTCAATTATTTTATAAGCATAGTATAAACATTTCTCTTGAAAATATGATTAATAGATTTCATTTTGTTAATCACACCGTTCAAGTTATTTAAAACTTAGATTAATTAAATAACTCTTTATTGATTTCTACTCAGATGATTTATTTTATAATTTTCCATTTCTCTTTTAAGAATGTTATGAATATATTACTCTATTATTAAAGGTATAGAGTTATAACCTGCCGTGTAATTTTAACATTAATAATTTTAATTAGCTAAACAGATCTAATTCCAAATATTGAACCTGATAAAAAGAAGTAGCGAGTCAATTTTAAAGTTTCTATTACAAGACACTTCTTTCGGTAAGAAAAAGGTCAGAATCAATTGAGAGAAAATTAGATATATTAATTTTATTCGCAAGTATCACTTAACTCTCTAGACCTTTTTTTTATCGGAACTTTGATAATGTGACTTTCTTTAACAAAGAACATTCGTGAACTTGATTGGAATTAGAAAGCAATAACACAAGCTTTTAAGAAAAAAAATATTATGTCTAAGTTTAAGAAACGTGTAGCAAGTAGGGATGGGGACGGTTCAAAATGAGCGGTTCTGGAACCGATTATAATTTCTGCATATTCTGGGTTTTCCTGAATTACAAACCATTTAACCAATTTTAAAAATCGAACCGGAACCGACACCGGACCGGTTCCAAAAGTCGGCTCAAAATCTGATTGTCATCAAATTAAAGGTAATAATAGGACGAATTTGTTGGATAACTAGTCAAAAAAATTTTTTAAATTGATCATCACATGATGCTCTATTAGTATAAATTTAATTTAACGCTCAATGTTTTAATTACTTAAGAAGAGTCGAAGTAGAACCGAAGAGGAACCGAATTGGAACCGATAGAACCGTCCACATCCCTAGTAGCAAGTCTGCAGTTGATATATTTTAAAAGCTAGACATGATCACAAAGAAATAAAGAGTCAACATGATGATTTGAAGCATACATTGGGACCACCAAATAGGGAGAGAACCAAGCACTAACTTGAAATAACTCTTCGACCTAATATATATTGTATTTGCTGCAATTTAGAAAGAAAAGCAACACTTGAAATTTCAGCACACGGTTGCAATAAATAATAACATACAGGTGTCGGGCATGATTACCTACGAACAAATTCATTCAGGTGTTTGTTATCGCTATTACTTTAAAACCTTCAATAGACGCCATTTGTTTAAGATTTAGGAGTATAAGCATGGAATTTCTTGGAAAGTCATTGTATATTGATATGTTTTATATTTAGCTATGAAACTTCCTGTATTTTTACCTTCGTGCAAAAAGTTAATATAATTTCTACGTACTGTTACAATTGAAGGTAATTCCGACCGAAATCTCCATGATTCCGCATAAAATCGATTTCGATATTTACAGTTAGTTCTTGAAGATCATTTGCCAGTGGGGTAAATAGGAGGGGAAGATTAAATTTTCTTAATTTTAAAATTAAGATTTTAATCTTCCCCTCATATTTACCCCCTACTCACAGGCTGGTACGGTGCCTGGATGTCAAGGTTCCTGTATGACAAAGTGTTCAAGATGCCAGGCTGGCTCAATTTTTTTTTTATATAAAAGCTGGAAATCCTTAAAAAGCTTAATATTTACGCTCACCCTTGTTATATTTCTTTGTATATATTCCCTTCGAAATCCTTCCTTTAACACTTCGCTTTCTCTGTTTTAACTTTTAAATTTCGTAGTAGAAACTTCGTTTATTATCTTTTTAATTTCCGATTTTATAATTTTGTAATATTTCCGTAATTGCGCAGTTTTAATTAATTAGAATTTGGCATTTACTCAGTTTAATTTATTGATAAAGAGAAAGTGTAAAGCGCCGATGTTGAGGCAACACTGATTAATTTGATAATATTAAATAAATACTTGTCATAATTACTTCATTTACTTAATAAATATTCAATTTTATTCAATCAATACCTACTGCTTACAATAAAAATTGTTTATAAAATACATAAATGAAAGAACTGAATACAACTGCACAAGTAAAAATTTAGTCACTCACCAATCGCGTGACATTACAAACCAATGGCTTTCGCCTAAAAAAATTGTAGACGGATTAAATGAGTGGTTGACAAATAAGGGTCACTTATAAAGATCGCACTATTTCCGTAATAGCTTATAATGATGTCATTCCTTTTAGGGTTCATAATTCGAAACAATTATGCCGAAATCACATCATTTAATTTTTCGAATTCAGTTTCGTCTGTAGATATTATAAAAACTTGGGTTATTAAACTTTATTCTAACGACGAAAATAACGGGAAAAAAATATAAATTGGACACTTTTCAAATCGTTTGAATCAAATAAAAAATAAAAAAAAATAAATCAAAATAACTTATCTATGAATCCAAAGCAAAAGTAGCAAAATATAAATTAATCATTATTATATAATCAAAGAAACCATTTATGTATCCAGCTCGAAGTGAATTCAAAATAAAAGGAAATGTATGCAAAAAGAATTGCTGTGACCGAACTAGAACTTTATTCTTGCGGAAGTAGAGGTCGGAACCGGTTATCGATATCGGATTTATAACCGGTTTTTATCGTATCGGATTAAAACCGGTTCAGAATT